GATTTGACTGTCGGACCAGAACACGATTTTGGTAACCGTCAGATGATTGGACAAGTATGAAGCAAGTCTTGCACCAGTAACAGCTGCCATCAATTCAAGTTGCGGAAGGGTCAGTTTTTTCAGTGGAGCTACACGAGACTTTGACATAACCATGGAGGTATGTGAATTGGAAGTGACATAAGCGACTGTCCCATAAGCTTTGGTGCTTGCATCGACAAAGATGTGAAGTACCACGTTTGATGGCCATGAAGATAGCAGCGGAAAGTATCTGCGTTGAACTTCGGTCTGAGTTGCAGCTTCTAGGTCTCTGGAAAGTTTGACCCATTTTTCAATCAGTGGTTTTGGTAGCGGTTCATCCCAAGCGTATTTCAGTTCCCAGAGCTCTTGAAGGAAGATCTTGGCACGAATAGTGATAGGAGTGATGAGACCGAGGGGATCATATATCTTAGAAGACGCTCGTAAAACATCTCGCTTAGTTATGGACACCACGTTTTCATTGGGATCAGTAACTGGACGTTTTTCTTGAAGCTTCAGCGTATCGACTTTACTGTTCCAGCGAAGACCAAGCAGTTTTGCTTCGGTGTTGTCGTCTTGAGCATTTTCTTCATTGGCGAGTGCACATATCTTTGAACTGTTCGAGTTCCATTCACGTAAATTGAAGTTGGCAGAAGACATTACGGATCTGGTGTGTTTGAAGTAGATCGCGGCTTCGTCTTCGTTATCTGTGCCAGAAGCCAAGTTGTCGACGTAGATGTCGGCTTTCATTCGTTGTGCGATTGGATCGTTGTAGCTGTCAAGGTGCTTCTTGATCGTTGCATTCAAGATAAACGGGGAACACGATGCACCAAACAAGATAGATTTGAACCGATATACGTCAAAGCTGCTTTCGGGGTTGGTTGGGTCGGATAGCCAAAAAAATCTTGTTGCATCTCTATCTCCTTCATCTAGAGAGATGTTCAGGAAGGCCTTTTCTATGTCTGCGGTTAAGGCATACCGATAGCATCGAAAACGGACGAGTATGGCCGTCATATTATTAAGGATGTCAGGGCCAGTGGAAAGGCATGAGTTCAGGCTTGCTTGGTCGGCATTTGGGCTGCAACTGCAGTAGTACACAATACGAATAGGTGTCGTAGGGGAATCTTTTAATACAGCGTGATGTGGGATGTAGTGGCAATAACCGTTTGATGTTTCTGGATTTGTAACTCTTTCAATAAAACCTCGTTTTAACTGTTCGTTAATAAGTTCACTGTAGGTTTGCAATGTCTTGGGGTCTTTGGCTAATCTCCTTACAGTGGAACGGGTTCTTCCTCGCGCTACTGCTTCGTTGGTGGGAAGGGGGTCATGGTTAGGTTTCCATGGTAACTTTGCACAGTATCGGCCATTCACGAGTCGTATTGAAGAATCCTGATATTCCTTAACAAACTTGTCTTCGTGGGTTGTTATTTCGTCTGGAAGAATCCCAATAGATTCTAGATTCCAAAATCGTTCTAAAGCTTTACTTTCGTGTTCGTTTGAAACAATGACTTTCAAGATGGTTGCATTGAGTGATGTTGTCGCAACAGCTGGCCCAGTTGTTGGTCCAGAAAGCAAGTAACCGATTCTAGATTTCGCTGCAGTGGGGCCCGGTCCCCTAACGATTTCGTCTTCGACAACGTCCCAGTAGTGGTCCGCGCCAATCAAGAGGGATATGTGGAAATGATCATCAGTCGTCATAGGGTGTGCAAGTTTCAAGCCGTTGAGGTGTGGGAGGTTTCGAATTTCGGCGGTGGGGAAACTTTTCTGCGGAACTGCGATTGTGGGAATTATCAATACCTGTAAAGGAATTTTTTCGCCATCTTCGGTGTTGAGATTAATCGTAGCCATGTCTACTTGTTTGATAGAAGTCGAAGACCCGCCAAAGACTGATAGATTTAAGGTTTCACTTCCTTCAGGCGTAAGTTCGAGTTCGTCAGCTAAACTTTGAGTGATAAAGGAACGTTGAGCACCTTCATCAAAGAGAATGTGTGCTGTCGCTATTTTGTTCTGTGTTGCTATCGTATTAATGGCAGTTTTGAGGAGTGTTTGTCTCCCATAGTAGTCGTTGACTGACAGAGACGTGTGGACACGGTCTGGGGTTTTGTCGACGGGTGGATTGGTTTTCGCGTTTTGAACTTGCGTCGTAATATTCGGTGCGTCGTTATTCGGCGGATGATTTTTCCCGGTATTTTTTGTTGCATCTTTGTTCGTTTCATTACAAAGACTCGTGTGGTGTTTCTTGTGACACCCTCGACAGCGATTTCTCGAGTTACAATCAGATACACGGTGATTGTTCAAACAGTTAAAACATAACTTCGCTTGGAAAACAATATTCTTACGGGCTGTGGGATCCTTTACTACAGTACACTCGTTAGGGCGATGATGGCCCGAACAGAAAATGCATAAACTCTTGTTTGTAGGGCGATTTTTAGGTGCGTAAAATTCTTTTGCGTTGGCATGGTTTCCAAACTTTCCGGATGCGTTTGTCAGTAGACTCGATGTTGATGGCAGGGTGTTGACAGGTTTGCCTAATTGACTAATTTGACTGAAAGAGTCTGTTTCTTCCCCAGCTTCTAGTATTTGAATTTCTTTCAAAATTGATTTGCGTAATTGTTCTACTGACCATTTAGTTGAACCGTTCTCTCGAATTAAGTTGTGCTTGATTGTAGTGGGAAGTTTACCCAAAACAATGGGGATTAAAAGGTCACCGTAGGTGTCTTGTTTCTTTCCTAACGCCTCGAGACCTCGAATATGATTTTCCATGCTATCGTAAAATTGGCGCAAGGTAGACACTGAATTTGAAGGGCATGGTAGATCTAACAAGGCTTGCATGTGTGCGTTAGTTATCTTGTGGGGTTGACCAAATCTCTGTTCCAAAATTGCAATACATTGCGCGTAGTTTGACTCTGTAAGCGGTAAACCTTCGATTGATTGCGCGGCTTCACCTGACACTTGAGCTTTGAGATATGTAATTTTTTGTATGTCGCTTAGGCTGGAGTTTTCATGTATAGCGACCTTATAAGAGTCCCAAAAGGTTTGCCATTTTAACACGTTGCCGCTAAATACTGGCAGTGCTAACTTTGGTAATCTATGACTATTTGTATTATGCGATTGTGGCAGCGTACTTTGAGTAGGAAAAACGTGTCCGTTTTGTGGTGTTGTGGTAGCCATAGGGCTAGCTAACGAATTACTATGGATTGTACTTTGATTGATAAAGAATTCTATGGTGTACCTCTTTTTAGTTAGTTCCGTTAAATAGTCGTCGGCTTCAACGATCTCCGTCTCTAAGCCCTTTTCGTCTTCGATTAGATCTGATACAGTCTCATCCAACTTTCGAAGTAATTCGATTTTCGCGTCGTACGTTGCCAGAATGACCCGTAGTTTCTCAATATTAACTTCGTTCGTTTCACCGTTTATGAGTAGTTCAGCTTCGTTCCAAATTTTAGTTGCTTGTGCACGTTGAGCGCCACGTTTTATCCTTGCGCGTTTTAGACCGTCCATCCTGGTCACGGCACCAATGTCTCGTTCGTCACTCGAAATAAGCTATAGTGTTGTCTTGCGTTGTGTTAACTTGTCTACGACGATAACGAGATCTAATGTAGCGTAGGTTCTTTCGATAGAATCAAGGACGATCTACACCATAGTTTGAATATGTATTATTTACACTAACACAAGCTCAAAAGCCAGTGCGAAAACTATATACAACAAAAAGGTGATTATCAAATTATCCTGAATGTCCCAGTTATCCTAGTGCAAGTGTAATTCTATCCTAGTTCAATTAACTAACCGTGTTCGATATAAGATATTAATAATGAACTGTTTATATTAGAATGCGTGCAAGATATCTATAATGTTCAAAGTACTGTCAATTCTCGACAGGAACGAGGTTGAAGACGATCTATGAACTATAAGTAAATCCCATTGAACTATAAGTAAACTGGAAGGCTAACTGCTATGACGAAGGCCTATGAGTTGATGACGCGAAGCCAAAATAGTTTTTTGAGTTATGAGCAGAAATACTTGATCCCAAACGTTGGGCTATATATCAAATTGAAGTATTTGAAAATTGCTATTCGGTGTGGAATTTCAAGACTTCAGGCGTTCAGCGAAAAGAAAAATATTTAAAAAATACAAAAACAACTGCAAAATGGCAAATTATCGGCAATTATGTTTGTAGTTTTTCAATATTTCCCTTTTAGCTAAAGTCTTGAAATTTCTACACCAAATAGCGTTTTTCAATAGCTTCAATTTGATATATAGTCCAACGTTTAGTGTTGAGCATTTCTGCTTATAACGCAGAAAGACTAAAATGCACTGGCTTCAATCCCCTCCCCCCTGCGTTAGCCTTCCAGTTTATTTCTTTTTTTTATAGTTCAATAGGCTCCCCGAGCAAGCCTGGCCAACAATAATATAAAGTCGACAATTTATACATAACTTGATTAAAAATTTTCAGTATTAAATATTGTCTGCGCTACTCTTTCTGGCTATATGATCAGAATGTATTGAATAACATAGGCTATAGGTATGTTTACATTGTATCAGACCTTCCAACTCTCACGCCGATTTTGTGTGAGACACACGCATTTGACATATTTCTCACGCTCACATGCATAAACACTATTTTCTCACGCAAAAGCGAAAAATGGAAGCGATCCAACTTTTGTTTAAACGCTTCTCTTGGCAAGCAAATATTCCTATTTAGCTGAATCAATAGCTATAAAATAAAGTATTTTTCGAGCAGTTGCTGTCGGTGTAACGTATAGTATTGCGTAAGTTGCACTATTGCGCAAATTAGTAAATTGACACTTAGTTAATGAGGGATTTCCATGATAACGCATTAAAAGCAGCTAAATCTGCTACTTATGAATACAACAAAGCACATACGCGCAAGCTATAACTCATTAACATTTAAATTTAGAATGACTTTTACTTTTTAAACAATATTAACAAAATAAAAAATAAATGAAACTTATAATTGCATGCAGATGTCCAAAAAGTGTTACTTTTGAGATTTTTTAATGCCATTTTTGTACCTTTAGAATTCTGTTAATCTTCTCCCAAAATGTAGGAAATGGCATTTCAGAGACTCCAGATTTAAAAATTTTCCGGGGGGGCATGCCCCCAAACCCCCCTAGGTCAACGCCTGCCAACAGCAGGCGCCAGCCTGCCATCGGCGGCCTACATGACTCAGATTACAGGCAATAACTAAATCTCACTCATTTTCATGCCACAAAGTTGGAAGGTCTGTTGTATCGGATCACTTTGCGAATTAAAGGGTCATAGCACTTACGTGAAATATTATCATTTCAAAGTGGATACCTTGTGGACAGTCATTAAATTAAATAATCTTATGACACCCAACTGCTATAAGATGCCTATTACTCAGTACCAGTATCACCAACCAGTCAGAATTTTTTGAAATTATTTTGAAGGGACAATTATACCAATACCCATGTCTTCCCAATGGCCTTTCTAGCTGTCCGCGAAAGTTTACAAAGCTACCTAACCTAGCTGTTATACAGTTTTGTAGAAAAGAGGTCATGTTTCTTCAGGCTATATTCATTTGATGAATACCGTCCTCCGCCCGCATGTCCAAAATGCTGCCGCAAAAAATCATTATTTCAAAATATCTCGTTATTTCAACAATTATCTACAGTTTAAACCACAGAATTATCGCAGAAGTCATGTATTAAGGGCAAAATCTACTTGTACAGCAAAGCTTTCGCTTCGCAGGCATTCGCTGCCTAGTTTTAAAGTTTGCTGGCATATTACTGAACAAGTTTATTGACGTTCGACCAATTTTCACACATTTATAAAAATAATGAATAATGAAAAAAAGCCTCATCTATTTTTGAAATTATAAGGACGGTATTCTATGACTTTAATTCCCTTGGCCTTACAGGTATAAAGTTTCGTTTAATCTAAACCAACTCGCTAAATGTCTACGAACAAAGACTGAATACATCCTCTACCGTATGGTTTTACCTTTCAGCGTATTTGATATAAAATCCACAAAATACTAACGTAACACAAACATATTACCTTGCTACAAAGCATGGAATTCCATCGTGCTAGTTGTGTAAAGTTTCGATAAAATTTCTTGCTTTAAATCCCTCCACACACTGGTGCTTTGGTGTCCAAAACAGAACTTGAACAATGCTTCATTTACTTTCATGTAAAAAAAACTGGACAAGATCGTGCATATCACTTTAAAATCAGATATTTCCAGTCGTTCTAGAACTGTAAACACTAAACGTACAACAAGTGGGCAATTTGTCAACGCTGACCAAAAATAGCGGCGCATTTCTTCTTGAGTTGCCATTTTCGCGCCGAAGAGCAAAAATATAGACTTTCGGAGAATATTCAGTTAGCTTTTTACAGATTTACTATCAAATATGTTTGTGCAACAGTTGATAATCTCACTGAGGAAGGCCAACGGTTTCTGAAAAGCTAAAGTACGTCGAAATCAGCTTTGGAATAGACTATATTCTCACCGGGGAAACATGAACTAAATGGATATTTACAATTTTACATCAACACTAAATTTTGCTCGTGCCTACAGAGCTAGTTGGATTAAAACAAATGTTAAAAAGTAAGTGAAAATGTGAACTTTGTGAATTGTACTTTCATTAAAATGTTTCAGAAGGTCTGCTAATGCCAACGACACGTGTGACAGAGCTGTCAGTATACCCATATTTCAATATTTATGTTGAAAACTTGAAATGACCCATCTTCTTTGAGGTATAGCTTAAAAATTAGGGACGGTACAGTTGCTCATCAATTGAAACTAGCTTTAAATCAAAGTATTATCTATAATCTTTTTATTAGAATTAAAATCATTCATGGGAAAAATGTGCCAAAGGGTTGAAATTGCCCTTGTAAATATACATTATTTTTGACATGTTTGGGTTAGTATTTTGAAAAGGTGTTCTGGAAGGAAAATATGTCTTGAACAATACTGGTTGACCCTTAAATTATAACTAGTGTTATGTAAGTCACAGAAAATTGAAAAAATTCTGGTCCATACACAATAGTTTGGATTCTATGAGGTCCCGAATTTGGCTTATATCAATGTTTAATTAATCTGTTTACCAGGAAAAACATAGAAAATTGAATAAGGACCAGGTTTTTGTAATTGCTTTTTCACATGGGTTTGTGGCAATACCCACCCGATTAGCACGTTTGACGCCGGCTGGCAGCCGGAAATTTTGTCTCCGATTGCTCGGCTGCCAGGCGGGCTGTACTATAGTATACTATTCGTTCAAAAAATGCGAGCATTTCGGAGACTGGTTCTAGAATGTTTCATAAGCAGAAAACCACCAAAATTACATTAAATTTTCCGAAAATCATCGAAAATTATGCATCTAAATTTATCTTCCCAATGCATACAGCTAGCTATGCGACAGGTAAATAAACGAGAAAAAAACTTACAGCAAAGAGAAAAATTTAGAATATTTATTCGCGCTCACTCTGAGATTCGAACTTACGACCCTCGGCATACACGCTAAGTGTTGTTCCCCTGCGCCACCACGTCTTACACAGAAAATATGTTAATTTATTATATATAAAGAGGTTATTCTTAGCCAGCGCGATTTATGATATTTGCGTAAATACGTACACCATTGTACACCCTGTAATTTTCAGGGAATTAATTTAACTCCAGTGGTATTATTTTCAACCTAATTTTACTCCACATTTGGAGTTAATTGAGGTACAGTATAACTCCACCGGAGTTAAATTAACTCCCCGAAATTAACAGTGTATATATATATATATATATATATATATATATATATATATATATATATATATATATATATATATATATATATATATATATATATCAATTCCACAATTCTGTTCATGAAATGTAATTTTTGCTATATATGGATTGCTTGAGTTCTTAAATTGTGGAAAATATAAAAAATTTTGAAAATAGTAAATTTTGCTATCCAGGGGGGTGGTCAACTTTTGCTCCCCTAAAAGTGGCTTGCGCACGGAAATGACAAACGGTATTCTTTATTTGAGTTCATGTATGAAAAGTTCGCAAACGTTACATTTTTCTCCGTTGGTGCTGTTCTTGCTTCATTATGAATTCATTTTTACTCCCATGAGAGTTCCATGGAATTTGTGCTTTCGAGTTGTTTGTGCTGAAACGCATTTTCTCGTATAATACCCCGTATTCTTTGAAATGGCGATGCCACAATTTACCCCGCAGGAGAGAGCTTTTATGGTATCAGAGTTCCTCCGTAGCAACAACATAAACTTGGTTCGCCAAAGTTTCAAGAATATCCAGATGTACGATGCCCTTCACGTGCGAATACGTGAAGGGCATCGTACACAAGTCTGGATATTCGTTCGTGAAACTTTGGCGAACCAAGTTTATGTTGTTGCTACGGAGGAACTCTGATACCATGCATAAAAGCTCTCTGCTGCGGGGCAAATTGTGGCATCGCCATTTCAAAGTGTACGGGGTATTATACGAGAGAATGCGTTTCAGC